GCTCTCTTTCTCTTTCTCTCTTTCTCTTTCTCTTTCTCTCTTTCTCTTTCTCTCGCTCTCGCTCTCTCTCGCTCTCACTCTCTCTCGCTTTCTCGCTCTCGCTCTCTCTCGCTCTCTCGCTCTCGCTCTCTCTCTCTCGCTCTCTCTCTCTCTCTTTCGCTCTCTCTCTCTCTCTTTCTCTTTCTCTCTCTCTCGCTCTTTCTCGCTCTCGCTCTTTCTCGCTCTCGCTCTCTCTCGCTCTCGCTCTCTTTCGCTCTCACTCTCGCTCTCTCTCGCTCTCTCTCTCGCTCTCTCTGGAGATTTTTTCTTTGTAAAAAAATCCCTTTAGAGGAAAAGTAAAATGCCTAAATAGTTGAGAGGGGAGAATCGCGGAAGCGAATCGCGGAATTAGTGTCGAGCCGCAATTGGCGTAATGGCGAGCCGCGGCTCGAAAGGAAACGGGGTCGCCTTTGTTCTTTCTTCTTCTTCTTCTTCTTCTGCTTCTTCTGCGGGATGGGCGAGAGAAGTCAGAGCGAAGAATGCCGAATACTAATTGGCGGGACGTTGTATCGTTGCTGGATATTAATACCAATGCCGGATTCGTGGTAATAATTGGACTGGATTCGTTGGTTTCGTTCGCGGCCGCGATAATTAAGCAATTAACAACCGGCTATGGAACTGCATTCGCGCCACGCATCATCGATCGTGTTGTGTTCTCCGATCCCCTTCCTCTCTTTCACCCCGTTCTTCTTTGTCTTCGGCGGAACGCTTGGAAATGGGGAGGGAGGGAGGGAGGAAGAATTTTGTCATTTGTTGAGCGTTGATGTGTCGTTTTTTTTTTCTGCAAGTGTAAATTGGAATTTTGGAAGAGAGAGAGAAAGAGAGAGAGAGACAGTTGTTGAGTCTCAAACTTGTAAAAAGAAGGGAAACGTAATGGATGGAGGGGAATAAAGACGTTATTGAAATAAGGGGTGAAAGAAGTTCGGCTGAGGCGAGCAGAGCAAGCTTAATTGCACCGGGTGTTGTGATTTAATTGGAAACTTTGAGAGCGAAGAGAAATTTAATCAACCTCTACCGCGGCCAACTTAAATTTAATTCTCTTCCGTTATTCGAATTTCAACTTTTTTTTTTTTTTTTCGGTTTGCTCTGGGTAAAATACTAAAATGAAATAGAAGCACATCTTCTTCTTTCTCATTGACTCTTTACAACCCTTTACAACTCATAATCCCTAACGTCCTTCTCTCCATCGAAATCCGAATCGAAAATTTTTCTCACGCGAAAAAGTTTTTATTTTCCAAAGTTTCGAAAGAAATTTCGCATTTCCCTCGTATAACAATGAATAACATAGGGAATCCAAAATCGCGAATCAGCAAAATGCAATTCTCAACCCCCTCCTCCCTCCCCTTCCAACTCAACATTGCGTTTATCACGGTCCAACGCATTGCTTCCCATTTCCATCAACCTCGACGGTTGGCGGTTACGATTTTCATCAATCTCCCCGTCTCTCCCCCCTCCCTGGGGGGAAACGAAAAGCCGGAAAAAAAAAAAAAAAAAAAGCCACGTATCCGCAACCGTGGCGCGGCGATCATCGCCAAGTCAAACAAAGCCTTGTTTCCCAAACACAAGGCTAATCGTCGCCAAAACATCCAATTTCTGCCCGAATTCGTGCGGGCAGAAATTCATTCGGGGAGAAGGGGGGGGGTGGAGGGGTGGAGAGAGAGAGGGTGCGATAATTGGCAAATAATGGCGAGCGATGCGGGCGCGAAACAAATCGAGATTAATAATTTTGAATCGGTTGGCAACCGTTCCACTCCACCCTCCTCCCCCTCCCCCTCCTCTTTTCCGTCCAATCCGTTTGAAAATTCGCTCGAAATTCATCCCCCCCCNCATCGTCAATCCACGGTATTTTAAGATAAACGGGCCGACCAGTCGTTGCCCAGCCTCTTGCGTGCCTCCATTGCGAATCTCCGTCCATTTCAATTCCTTCTTCCAGACGAGACATCCTGTATGGTGTACTATATACACGCTATATTTCGATCGAGGGGATCGAGGGGGTTGAGATACCTTGTCGCTGCTAGTCTTGTAGTCGATGACACTGATATCGACAGGATCGATTAGACGCGGACGTCTCCGCCCAAATGGACGTGATTCGGGGATACGTGAGTGTGAGATGCCTCGATCGTGTAGAGTAGTAGGGTATTGATTCTTTTACGTGTCTTGATTTCAAAAGAAATATTCTCTTTGAGAAGAACGTATGTGCAGGAGTAAATAATAATACGCTTCTTAAAAGTAAAATATTTTCGAAGAATCTGTTTGTAAATAATTTAATCAGTAGTGATTTGCGAAAATTATCGAATTGTGCTTTTCGATTTTTATTAAAAAAAAAAAAAAAAAAATAAAAGGA